TTCGAGAATCACCCCGGGATATACTTCGAAAAGGCCGGCGAAGTAAAAATTTATAATGACCGCTGGAAACTAATTACATTCGTCAATCTAACGCAGTTAGACAGGAAATACCGCGTTATTCGCTACTATGCAGACGAACTAAAGAAAGGCTGCTATCGAAACCTGACTCACGGAAGAACATTCGTCTGCATCAATAAACACCACCTAGACGCGACGATACGAAACTTAGACGCGACCGAACAACGAAGGAAGACCCTCAGTGATATCACTGGACATTCCTTTTCCGATGACAATACCCGAAATAAAAGAGCAGTGTTCGACTTAATCGGCACCATCTCAAAAATATTGTTCGGAACTCTCGACGCTAGTGACGCGACGTACTATAACGAACAGATCGACAAGATTTACGAAGACGACAAGCAGATAGCGACACTTGTCAAAGAACAGACCAACATAATCCAAGGCTTTATGACCAATTTAAACATCACGATCGACGAAATAAATACAGAATTCGAAAAAACTCATGGGAAAATAGAAACAATGCAGCAATATCTAATGGACCACGTGAGAGAATCGTACGCTGCGAAAATCCAAGTAGAAATGAACGCTCACGTTATCGAACTCTCGAGCTTAGTTAACTCGTACGAATCAGAGCTTACGACATTAACTAATGCCGTCATGCTCGCATTTAAGGGACTGATTCATCCCGATATCCTCCCACCAACTCACCTAATGGACACCCTCATAAAAATCAAAACTTTACTCTGCCAAGACCAGGATTTCCCCGTAACACTCGTACCTACTCATGCCTATGATTTGATTAAAGTTAGTAACCTACAGGTACTCTATCTTAACGGACGACTGATATATGCTTCAACAATACCACTAACCAAGAGGGAAACTTACGAACTCTTTAATCTCATACCGATTCCAGCCCCGCTCGAAGGTGACATATTTACATACATAAGCCCTAGAAAACGCCACATAATTATTGCGCCCAATCGACAGCGCTTTATGCTCTTAGATGAACTCGATGGCGAAAAATGCAAACCGCTACGCAATATCAAAGTATTCATCCAAGAACAACCGTTCTATACTTCTCACCTACATAAATCCTGCGAAACCGACCTGCTTACTACTGGAAGCACCGATATCAAAAGAAATTGCGATATTAGATTTATCCAACTAGAAACCACCACGTGGACCCAATTAGAACGTAAGAACAGCTGGTTGTATGTAACCGTTAAAAAGGAATTAGTGGACATTCTGTGCGAAGATCGCGACGCGTCGCATATTGCGGTAGAAAACACGGGCATTCTCACGCTAGATACCAATTGTAAAGCATGGACCGACTCCGCGAAGCTCGTAACGCAAAATGTAAAAACCAGTAATTATAGCACGGATTTCGTGCCCGAGGCTGGCCTAGACTTAGCCGCACTGTGCGAAGAGCTTCAGGAGCCTTCCAAGATAAATCTATCGGAATTAATATTCCCAAAAAAATATAATCGCCCGAACATACATTTAAGCGACTTAGACATAGGAAGCGTCAAACTATCAGAAATCCGGCGTCGAAGTGAGATATTGCAACACCGGCGTAGACAAGATAATTGGTTAGCATCCCATAATAATTTCTTTGACTATGTACTTTTTGCTCTAGGAATCTTATTAATGTTATATCTATGTTGTACGTGTAAGTACTGCAATATATATGCTTGGTTGTGGAGAAAGCTTTTTAAACGAAGGCAAACATCGGATCGCAGAAGCACTAATACCTGCTTACAGGTATTTAAAAACTGCTTTAACCATATCAGGAAACCGAACAGAGACGTGCAAGTCCACTTCCAAACGGATCGCGAATCGACCGCTTCGAGCGAAGAAGCAGCGACCATACAACCCTTCAGGTTCGAATGCTCGTATACGAGTTCAGAGCGTCCTAGCTTGACTTCACCACCTTCCGCCCAACCTAGTCGTAAGCCTCCTTCACGAGAGCCATCCTCCAGGCCTCTGTACGGATAAGCGCTCTTCCTCTAAGGGGGAAGGGATGTTAGGTCTCTACCTAACATTGTAAGTAATATTAAGAAAGAGACTAAGCAAGGCGTCTCGCGCTCCAAAACGCTCCTGGAGACATGTTCTCCCTCGTTCTTATCTCCCCTTTGTTTATCCGAGTACTTCCGCACCCAAAACAAGATGACAGCCCTGGGAAACGTCAAACATTCAGATTCTCTGGAAAAAGACACTTTCCACCTGTTTCCCCTTCGACCTGTCCCCAAGTCAATCACATGAGACATTTCCCTCCTCAATCTTAAAAACCCACCAATAAGCATTCTCCTCCGCGCCTAGGAACATCCTAGGTCAGTATAAAAAGGCCCGCTTCGAGGGGCTCGCTTTCTGATCTATCGAAGTTTGAACTGTCTCCAATCTGTAACCTGCGTGCGAGGCACCTGTAACTCCGGCGAACGCTAGTCCTCTTGAGTTGACCGAGTCTACGAGTTGTTCCCGTAAAACCGAGAGGCATCGAAAATAAAGTATCTTCGTTACTTTGCTCGACGAGGTCTTTGGCTGGTTTCAACCATCTGGAAGCGAGTCCCCAAAAACAAACCCACGAGGAACGATCCGATCGACATCCTCGGGTAATCGCTATCACCGCTCCCGAGTAAACGATCCCCGACCTAACAGTGCCCGCATCGGGAGTCATAACCTCGCCTGTCAACCTGCGCTCCCAACTTCTGGGCCGGTGACAGGCTCTCGGTTGCGGCTGAGGGACCGCGGGTGTCCTGTTGGGACTCCTCGCCCTCGATCTTCAAGCCGATGTCGGCTTCCCCAAGACGTGCCAGTCCGATCCTCGGAGGCCCTTTTGAGGTTAGGCCCCGACGCCGCCCGCCTCGGCTCGACCGTACCACCAGGTAACTTTTGTTCCTAAAATTCTCTCAAGTCTTGAATTATTGTTAATCTTGCCCTATTGGCCTTTCCCCCCAATATCTCTTAGGTTCGACACTGGAGGGATGTCCATCGAACAGAAGAGAAAGGAAAAGAGAGGTCCCGATATCAATTTCAACCTATCTCCCGTAGCCCACCTGGTCTTACGTAGCATTAAAAGGTCATGTGGGATTTTTCCTTGAGTATTGATCGGTAGCATCGAACTCTAACAGGTAATCGGAGGACCTCCTCCGTCTAATATATTCTAAATAAAGGGTGCGGGGGACCAGGCCCATCCTCCAATGGACTTGATTCCCCGTAACGTGAGGGGGCATCGAGCCCACCACGTTACAATATATATACATATACTCTTTGCAAATACTTATACTTGTATAACAAAACCGTCGCGGCCAAAACTATATGTCTCGTGACATCATTTTGATATTGTGTGACTTTACTTTCAGTCTGCAGTTGTCAGGTCGCACACCAATGAAGCATATAACAAACATGCAGCAAAGAAGCCTTTAATGTACCATGTTATTTGAGTACATCTAGGCACATATTACAAGCTTTTGTTGTATTATGTACTTTATGGGTAGAAATAAATTACCCTGTATGTATGTTATTATACGTATGTAATATATATGTATGTCATATGTATACGGCAAATTAATGTTCATTTCCTTAATATACGCGCAACTTACACATATTACATATCTTTTGCATGTGTGATATGTCAGACACAAGTGCGCCTTAAATAGAAGTATACTATACGTTTAGTATACGTCGTTTATTTGTGAAAACGTGGTTGCTCTAGGAACGTATAAAGTACGTATATAAAACATACGAGTAAAATAATTTATATTTGTTTACATAGAATGTACGTATATTTTACGTCTGTAACAGGTAAATTTTTCTTCCCGTAATATACACACAACATACATTCATTAGATGTCGTTTGCATGTGTAATATCGCAGATACAGGAGTCTGTTAAATAGAGATGTATTATACGTTTATTAAACGTAATTAATTGGTGAATATGTAGATGCTTTAGTAACGTATAACATACATATATCAATCATGCGAGTAAAATAATGTATATTTACGTACATAAAATATATATAGCACTTTTTAGATAGGTCAGTTTTTCTTCTCTTAATATACGCACAACATACATCCATTATATGTTTTTTGCATGTGAAATACTACACATACAAATTCCTGTTAAATAGAGATATATTATACGTTTACTAAACGTATTTAATTGGTGCAAATTTTGATGTTCTAGTAACATATTTAATACGTATAATTTACATCTAAAATCCAATAGAATATTTTTGACATTCCGTGAACATATATTATACGTATATTTTTAACTTCTGATATACTGAAACATCCCGTAGCTATGAAAACATTCTATAAACGTATAATAGAGCTTTTGTTCCGTGTCGGAAGTTGCTTCAGAATGAAAAGATCATGTAAAAATGTAACGATTAAGGTAGCTAACTTGATTTTTTTGGAAAATGTACTTACGTCACTTTCAAAATAAACGGCTTATATCTCATTTTTCAAAAGCATAACTTACTACTTCGTATTATTCTTAAAATAATATACTTTTCACGTCCAAGTAAATGCAATGATGAAACGTACTCGAAAGCGTAGTTTTACATCGTTCAACATCGAGTCATGAGCTCCGTACAACACCATCATGTTCAGTACTTCAAAGTTCTTAAAATAATAAAACCGTCAATTATTTAATCATAAATTGTGAATTTCATGGTTTTAATGATAAATTAATAACCAATTGTTGAGTACCTTATTGCTGACACAGGTTACAGTTTCTACCATATCGCATTGATTAAGACGGAGGCGAAAATATTCACTTTGCATATCACACTTGCCGGATATTAATACATTCCCCTAAATAATAAATCACATATTCGTGTACCATTTCATCGTTTTTCCGATAGTCCATCGTATTCTATTACTTACATAATTCTCATAGTTGATAGCTACATCTGATGGAACCTTCTTTCCAGGTTTTCGAATATGTAAGTAATTATATTTTCCTGGTAGAGTGCAGCAAATTGTAAGAGGTTCTCGAAAGACAGGCAATTGCAATTTTCGTTCAATATTAGGTTTTTTCACTACAGCCGTACCGATCGAATTACATGGATCCATTGTATTCCTCAATAATTTGGCCAGCTTCTCGAAAATATTATTATTCATTATTGAAAGAAACTGAACCTAACCTAACAAAAATTGAAAGACCATATCTAACCAGATAAAAAAATGTTGGAAACTAAATTTGAACATAACATTTTATTTAGCGAATGTTACGTCCCACAAAACCCACTTCTCTAATTACGTATTAATAAACGTCATAATTATTATAAACATTACATAATATAGCTCTTTGATTTATTATCTTTCCTAAACTCGGATTATGAATTACATGTGCGTCTGAAACAATCTAGAATTTAAGTAATTTCTGTACAGGAAAGCGATAAGAGAGAGAGTCCCCCTGTTCCTCAGTCGTCTAATTCTTCAACGAAGCATATACTCTTACGTCTATGACATTGACTCTATCAGACGTGAAAACAAAGATATAGAAATTTTACAATTGACTCACTCTCTCTCCAATCTCCATGGAATTGAAGTACTTATGCTGCCAGGAATCGGCACAATATTTTCTCGAGTATTTGGTCATTGTACCGGCGGCAAAGATGAAAGGATCGTTGGTTCTGTACTCTAGGTCTATAACAAGTTCACCGTCGAACACGAGACCAGCTCGTGAAATTGCTGAAATTGGGCCATTTATGTTAAAGAACTCATAAATACTGAAATCGGTTATATTCATCATTCATTTAGTAACACAACATTGGGAGAGACATTGCGCCGTGTGGTAATAGAATTTATCCTTCCTCCAAACACACCTTCGTATAATAAAACATTGCCAAGTACATGGTTGCAATGAATATTCTTTACAAAAATCACTGTTTCTGTTGTACATTAAGTTTCTACAAAAAATTTCTTTTCCAAAATTTAATATTTCAATGAAATTTTCATCAAAATGTTACCCTTCCAAAAATCACTATTTCTGTTCTATAATAAGTTACTGCAAAAAATGGCTGGAATCGTATCACAATATCAAGTATGTACGTCACTTATGTCACTCTTTGAAGATCTTAATTAAACCACCGGTATACATTACAATAAGTTAACGGCACACACACGTCTTTGGTTCTTAAAAGGTTAATTCCTTCCCTTCTAGTTTTAATATCTTCATTCTATATGATTCAACGCTAGATGCAATACTTTTTAGATTCACTACATCTTTGAGTTATTACTATAACAGCAATTATTTGCAATCTAATTGTCATTTACTGATATGTTAAGTGTTTTTTTTTTTATCAAGGAATACTTGGCTGGTCGGTAATCAAAATTTTACTGAAGTAAAGCTGAAGTATTAGTTTAGGATTTCGTAAAATTGTTGTTTATATACATAACGCCATTGAATAAGTTAGTCTTCTCTTCTAAAAATAACAACATTTGTAGTACCAACATTGAACTAGGAGACATAATTACAGTAAAGGCTTAATTAATAACAAACAAGTACTTTTAATACTGTGTTGATCCAGCCGATTAGGTATTGTAAAATGTTTGGTACCGACCGGTCAAGTAGTCCTCAATAAGGAATCACTTAGTATTTAATATATATCTAAGTGACAATTAAATCACAAATAATTGCTGTTGTAGTAATAATGCTAAGATGTAGTGAATCTACAAAGTGTTGAATTTAGCGTTGAATCATACAGAAGGAAGATACTTTAGATTAGATGAAAAAATATTAACCCTTTAAGGACCAAAGACACGTATGTGTACCGTTAGCTTATTGTAATGTGTACCAGTGGTTTGATTACAATCTTCAAAGAGTTAAATGACGTACATACTTGGTATTATGATACGATTCCAGTCATTTTTTTGCTATAACTTGTAGGACAGAAATAGTGATTTTTGGAAGGGTAAGGCTTTGATGGAAATTTGGTAGAAATATTCATTTTTGGAAACGGCATTTTTTTGTAGAAATTTCATGTTGGACAGGAGTAGTGATTTTTTTCAAAGAATATTCGTTGCAGTCCTATACTTGGCAATGTTTTTTTACACGGAGGTGATTTTTTTGGGAGGGGAGTATTGTTGTTCTTAGAAGTGCGTGAATTGTACAAAGATTACATTTCTACCATGTAAATATTACATGACTATGTTCATTCCCTTTACAGGTAGCCCTCCTACAACACGGCATCCTACAACACGCTAAGATAAATTGCGGGAACCGTCGTATAGCACTGCACCCTATGACACTGTTTCGCTCTAACACGATAAGAAAATTGCGAAAACCTTCGTACGACACTGTACTCCTACAGCACTGGATAACATGATTTTTGTTTAACATATTTAAAATGTAAACTACCTTAAAATAATGGCGGGAAGGAATAATAAACTATAGTGTCTTTACATGAAAATAATATTTCTCGTTCTTTTTTTTTTCGTTTTGTGTTATACATACATTTATATTTTTANCGTTTTGTGTTATACATACATTTATAGTTTTAATAAAAATTAAGTTGCTTATATGGAATTAAAAAAAAAAAGTTTGTTTTTAATAGGTTTTCGGAACGTAATCCCCCCTTTTTGTACTGACTCTGAGTCTCATATAAGACGGTTTCACCCAACACGGCATTTTCTAGGAACCCATCTACCGTGTTATAGGAGGATTACCTGTACTTAATGAACATTATAATTCTTTCTAAGCTGTACAGTCTGAAAACCTTACATAAATACTTATAACCATAATTGTTAAATGTTCTCATTTATTGAATGACGGGTAAGAAATTATGTGAACGTACCCATAAAAGTATTTATTGAAATTTCTTTTTCGTGGAAGTATAAAAAAAAGTCACACGATATCATTTGTATGCTACATTCTGATTCGATTTTTAATTTCTTGATATATTTATGATCACCTATTTCTTCCAATATCCAGTCAGTTACCTTACCATCTGGAATTATAATCACTTCGTTTTCAATTAAAGCCTGAATCACTGCATTGTAAACCTGATAAATAAAGAAAGCAGTCAAATACGAGTACTATATGCGCACATCATTTTGTAGTAAATCGATGTACCTCGGTATCATTGAAAAAGATTGCATCAAGAGACTGGCATGGTGGTGATGGTGGCCGAACTAATGTGATCCAAGAGCCTTTTACACCGAATTTTAACAATGCCTCAAGGGCACAATAACAATCCAAGTTGTGGCCATATATAACAATTGGCACTAAACAAAATAAATTTCATATATTAATGGTTAAAGTATATTGTGCCAAGATTTGTAGAAAGATCGAAAAGATCATTTGTTTATAAATGAGATTATGAAATGCTACGTGGTGAGAATTAGACAGTTTGAATTTATAACTCGAAGAAGCCTTAAGTTCAATTTTCGTTTCTACCTTTTTTCCTTCGACTCTTTCCTTATGGAGAGCTTGAAAGAAGGAAGCCCGTTTGCAAGGGCGGTTTTTTTTAGTAGTGCTAGACCTAATATATATCAAAGGGAGCCAAACTGTTCTTTGTTTCGGTATTGTAAAGATTAGGCAGAGATAATTCGAAAGTATAAGCTGTGACGTTATTTTAACTTTATAACTCCCAAAACGAAATTCCGGCAATTAATTGTCCGCCCCTCTGGCGAAGTTACAAATAAATAACCTGCAAAATAATCTCCGTCTCGTATCCGCTTAAAATGACAGCAAATTTTTGGGCGCTATGCCCGCCAAAGTGCCAATCCGGGACCCGAACCGCACGGGCTACATCCGTCGGGGTTCGTATCAGCGTACGGGAGCTCACTCAACAGCGATGAGCCTTCCAACCCACCCATGGATTCGCACCAGCGTAAGGCCTGAGGGGTCGGTCCCTCAACTAAATCAAAACCAAAAATTATCGAAAGCCCCAGACACATAAAACTTGAACTAAAGGTAGCGATACGAGACGAGACGCAGCGTCGTCGACGACGAAAAATAGACCGGGCTAGCTCAGTACGCCCAAGCGACCGCGGAGAGGGCGGGGTCCTTCCAAAAAAGCAAACCAGAGACGGAATTAAATTAAAGGCCTATTTATTCCAAAATGAAAAATCTGGACTTTGACAATCTCAAAATGGCCACGGGCGGGCCCACAATCCGGTACCGGCCCGGGCGACGAAGCGCGCGCTCGCTCAAAGGGATGATGCGCGCGGCGAGGCGCACGGAAAAGAACGGTGGCTCTAGACAGCCAAAAATCCAAAACGCGAAATTCAAAACGCGGAACTAAATGAATGACCTATTTATTCCAAAATGAAAAGAATTTAACCAGGGTTTCCAAAATGGTCACTGACGGGCCCATAGTCTGGTGTCGGCCCGGGCGACGGAGCGCGCCCACGCTCGAAGGAAGGGTGTGCACGGCGAGGCGCACAGAGGAGAAACGATGGCTCGTAGACAGGCAAAGTCCAAAAAACTACGCGAGACTATATTTTCGACTGTAAGGATTGGCTCAATTACGGAACAAGAATATTAGTTAAATACAAGACAACGGGAAAAGTGAGGATTGCACGCACGCAAATCTCTACGCGGAACTCACCCAAATCAGAAAAGTACAGACGAACTAAATTTGCGCAGAAAATATTCGAGGGTGAACGGGCGGGCAACTTATAAAGTACGCAGGTAAAACAAATTAACACATTCACGTCATTTTAAATTCTATTACTGATTGCCGCTGACATGATCACGTCCTTTAACGATACAAGTTTGCGATCCAAGCCCCGTAGACAACTATTCAAGCATGAACCGGGAGATTATTCGCTATGGCTCGAATGTTTCGAGGTGTGCACAGTCGAAGGAACTCTACCACTAAGAAGAAGGCGTTTCGGAGCAAAAAGTGGAGGAACTAAACTGTTCTGGAACAAGGATAAGGGCGCGGAGAACAGTCCTTGGAAGGTGGAGCCGTCACATGGTAGAGATGAGATAGATGATTGGGAAATCTTAGGACGGCAGAAAAAATAGTTGGGTTATTTATTAAGAAATTTTTATTTCCTTATGTTGCAAGCAGTTTGAACTGCAAACTTACCTGATGAGTGATGATTTATCGATTTCGTGAGGGTTGCCAGACACTCAGAAGCTTCCTGATCGTCGTTGATAGTCAAACAATTAACGGGTCCGGCGTACTTCGACATTTCACCTCTAAATATGAAGTGAATTAAAATCGGACATGAATATTCATTTTTGTAAGCAATAAACATGAATATTTCAATTCGTGATACTATTATTAAGAAGACATTACCGTTGCCCCTTTCCGTTTATTTCTAACGGATATTTAGGAGGTTGATACTGAAGTCCACATGTCAGTATTAGATAATCGTAAGACAACTTCCCTTCCGTCGTAATGATCACATTCCTTTCTTTTCTATCAAATCAAATATTACGTTAATATATTTCAGCACATTATAGTAATACATTATTATTATTATTATTATACTGTAGAATGTCATTGATTGTTACTGACTACTTTACATTGTGACATACGTCCCGTCGGTCGGAACCGTGAGACTACAAAAAGAGCACCGGTCTGAAAGACGCGACCGTCGCATCTCCCAGGGATCCTAAATCCTACTTTCGCCCTTGTTCGAACCCACCCTTGAACACTATTCCTTAACTTTTTCATTACGACAGTCCGCTCCGCTAGACAACCGCCACTGAAAGTGACACCGCGCTGAAAGGGTGCACATTGCGCTTCGGCAGTCTTCGTTTGAACTTACGTCTTCCACCTGAACAACACCTCCTTGACTGCCTTTTGTATATACATTTTTCTAAGTGTTAAATAACAACTGTTTTGTCGTGTTATTCCATTATTAAATTTCCAAATTGAAATCTAACTTTAAATTTTAAAGAAATTAAAAGCTATCCCAATAGCGGGTCTTCTCATCTCGGTACGATGGCCAAACTGTATTACATATGTTCAAAATGTACTTTTAGGATAACTAATCCAATACGGGTCAACACAATCAAAAGATACTCTGTAGATATGGCAGAATTTGTTACCAACTAAAGGCGGTGCTCGTACACAGAGGACGTCGCGCGGATGCCGACTGTAGTCGGCACTCGTAACGAAAGGATTAAGACCGATTGGGCCCCAGGCGTTCGTTCCATTCGTTTCAATCATTTCATTTCTTGCATTAATTTGGTTTATTTCATATGTTTCATTTGTTTCGTTTGTCTCATTTGTCCCGTCTGTCCTGTTTGTACCGTTTGTTTTATTTTATTTATTTCGTCCACTTCCTCCGTTTCATCCTCTTCATTCACTCCATTTATGTAATTCATTTCATTCGTTTCATTAATTTTATTTCTTTATACTACTAGCAAATTGTACGAGTGGAAAGTATCCTTATTCTTAGATAAAATGTCCGCTGAACTGTCCTTAGGCGAGAAGTCCTCAACCACATTTGTTTACAAAATGCTCATCATTACTGTTTAGAAAATCTGTTTCAAATCTACATACCTATTTATTGCCGTAACTGTTCCATTGACGACGGTGACCCAGACCCTGCCGGGAACAGTTCCCCAATAACCCCGACAGTACCGTCCTTTGAAGGGAATCATAGAATAAATCAGACTGCTCCGTTTTTTTACGTACGGTAATCCATTTGTAGAAATTAGAGTCACATTGCTAAAATGTGTGTGATTGCTGGGTAATCTGAAGACATTTTAAATTTAGATTAGTTATAGTCGTATGAATAAATACATTACCCTATACTAAAAAGGACATACATTAGCATTAACTTCATGTGTAACACTTATATCGTACAAAAAGTTCTAACTTCATGCGTAAGGTCTATTTCTTATTGGTCCTTGAATTCTCTTGAAAGAAACCAACGCGGTCCAAATTATCCAGCTTTATCCTTAAATTTGTTGTGACAAAATACTAGGCTCGAACAGTCTCCGCCTCGACGGTCGTCGCGGCGCGGTCGGCTAGCGCAGAGCGCATGCGCCAGGTTCGGAGAGGGCGGGATAAGACCAGACAACGGGATTGGGAAAACTCAAAATGATGGCGGGAAACTCAAATTGGGCAAATTTGAAAAAATGTAGTCTACAAAATCAAAACGGAAATCAAGAAAATTCACAGATTTATTCGAACAATGACAAAATTCGAAAAATAAGTTATCGAACCATTTGGGCCGCGGATAATAGAGAATTGCAAAAGAAAACGGAGTTCGACGGAAGGTCGCCTCAAAGAGAATCAGGTTAGAATCGAAATAGTTCAAAAGTACGGTGGGTTCGCAATAACATGCCATCTGGCAAAGATAAAAGGGATTCATGGCTACTCTGCACCGGGAAAGACAATGGGTGAGACAATAGAACGAGAAAAGACCGAGTCGGGAAACTCGAAAAACTGATTCGGCTTTAATAAAAAAGAAAGGGTTCCTAAAGCTGAAATTTAAGTCACAAAGAAAACAACATAGCTAGCCTTCATAGACTGACGGACTTAAAGTTACGCGAGAAAATACTATTCTGAATTAATAGCTCAAAATAATCTCAACCCTACTCGAACTCTAAATTATACAACATTAATCAAAAAAATTACTCGAAGGACGAATCGCAAAGCTAACCTCAAAACTCAATGCAAAGCTAATGATCGCAACTGGATGACAATTGGGTCTTCCGGGAGAGAAAAATGGGTCGCGATTGCCGCGCGACTTCTCCGCCTCCTACCCCGAGGGAGAGATAATTAGACAATCCTACGATTCGAACACTGGCCGCGACAAAAAGATTAAATTGTTAAGCTAGAAAAATTCTCTCACCGAAGATCCAAACCATTCGCGTCTTCGCAAGAGATTATGAATCTAAGATATCGTAAAAGCAAAATTCACTTGCCGAAGGCCAAGACCCTTCAAAAACCTTCGCGAGAAAAGCTACTAATTTATCACGCTCGAAAAACGGTCTCGGCGAAGACCGAAACCATTCACAAGTCTCCGCGAGACAAATCAAGCTAAATTTTCGCGGCCAGACGATCTAAATCTTGAGTTACGCGCCTCTACTCAAAACGGCGCGACAGAAAATTATCGGGAGCACGACGAAAAAAGAAAAGTCGCTCTCGTGTTTGCTCGAGGAGTCCCGCGGCCTCCCGGGAGACCAACCTGAAGCTCGGTTTCTTTTCGCCGTAAACCCCACCAGGAAAACCCGGAAGATCGACAGCGTTAAACTTTGGAAGGCCGACTACACGGTTGGTTTCCATTCACCGGCACGACACGATCTGGGCAAAACATTTCCAGAAAAACAACCGGAGACTCTAGCTAATGTACCGACAATGGGAGTCCTCGATCGGGCACGTGGGACTCACTGCTAGATAGAAAATTCGCCGCCGCTTGCCGGCCCCTCGATGAGCCGGGAAGTTCTTGAAGTCGGCGTACAATCGGCTAGACAATTTCAGACAGTTCACAATGTAAGGAAACTGCTCGAGACGCTGATCCAATCGGTCCGACGGTCGAATCCAGAGAAGACCGGAGTTCTCCGTACGCGGTCCTTAGTAGGGATTCTGCTGGTCAGTCCGAATCCTTATCCGCGTTGTTGATTGGTCGAAAGGCTGCGTGATTTCCAAATTGGGCGGAATTGGCATGCGCGGACCCAATTCATAGGGCTGGGGGCTACGGTGGCGCGGTTGCGACGATGTGGTTATTGGGCAACGGTGATACGCACCCGGCGTGCGCCGATCCACCGGCAATGCCACGTCCATAGCGAGCGGTGGCCCGTCAGGCCCTGCCGCGCCTGGGTCTGCGAGGCGGCCGAGATCTTCCCCTCCGAGGGATCCTGGCTCACACGGGACAGATCGTCCCACAAGCCCCGGGTACTCCGGCGAGGACGGATTGGGCTCCTTCCTTGAGCGCGGCCTTCATCTATCGCCTCGTCGGTGGCAGCCATGGTCGCTTTGGGAGCACCTGCCTCCTGGTCCGACTCCTGGCCGGGAAGTCCCGAGGTTTCTGCGGGCTGGCGTACTCGAGCCGCCAGGGCCCGTCTACGGCCCGCCCCCGTAGGCAAGGCGTCCAAGGTGCGTAGCAGGGCCAACGACCCTATGGGTGGACCTGATGGGTTGACCGTGGCACCGCGATCGGTGCATCCAGGCCTGGTCCCTTGCTCGCCGCGGCTTCCTCGACGGCTTCTCTCTTGAAGCCAGGGCGATGAGCGATAGCGCATGCGCGCGACCTCCGTGAGGTCGGCGGTGTTTATACTCTGGCCTGACGAACGAAGTCTCGCTACGACTTACAGAGATTTACGAGCTCTCAAACACTCCGCCAAATATTTATCGTAACATTCCTGTGAGTGCTCGAGAGCGCGCCCGGGAACACAGAAACTGGATGAATCTTTTACAGAAAATTTAGAGAGTTCCCGTTGATCTCTGAATTAACCTGAAATAAAAGACGCAACCAAAATTAATAAACTATAGGTCCGCTTTTCCCCTCCTCCGAGTTAGTGATCGTCGGACCATGGATCCTGCAATACACGAAAAAGGCAACCATCGGTCAAAATTTGGGGAGTCGGAACGCAGCAAAAATTTACCACGTCACACTGTATATTACTCGTCTGAATTAAGTCAATGGGTATAGTAAACGTATATCGTCTATTATCCAAATGAAATAAATGTCTTGTAAATGTACAGAATGTAACTGAAGAGGATTGTAGTGTACCGTGAGGGCGATATCCTAATCGAGCGCGAAATTGATCGGGATGCGCGACGTAAGGTGTTCTAAGTATCGATCCTGCTTGTGAGAAACCAACATGTGTCCGTTTTATTGCTATACGAACTAGCGTAACAATTTAGAGTTAACTAACAAAGAGAGGCTATCAAGATGTGATGAGCATAGCCGAAAAGTAGCCGTGAAAAGCATAAGTTAAGGAGCGTCACGAGTAATGTCCTGAGTCCACCGAATCCTGCGTTAAACTGGTGTTTTCCGCTTTGTTAAAAAAGACGCTTCGCCTGCGTCTTGCCTTCGGGAGGGGAGCAACATCGTTGCCAAGCAGTTTTCGAGTTGTAGGGTAGGTTCGCAGAAGTGCGCCCATAAATTCCCTGAAGAGGGTTGCCTAAAACTCCGTAGAATTTTTCGAGCACGTCTCCGTCATCAAGCAATAAACCAATAAAGAGGCCCTCGCTGAGTTGAATCCTCATCGAGGACTCTCACTGATTTATGTTGAGCATTGGAGATAACTTATGGCCGCCCTTGCTCAAAAGATAGCCACATTCGGAAAACACTCAGGCGACATCTGCGGTCCAGGCGGACGGACTTTTTCCTCAAAACTCCGCAGAGCTCATCCTAAACAGTAACGGAATTCGTAATGACGGTTTATACAGCGCTTCTCTGGTTGAAAAAATAGTCGAAGTCCTGTACCATTTTTTCCTGCAATGCGTAAATTTCCTGTAATCACTAAATACCGCACAGCAAATCAATCGCGTTCCCGAACAGAATGCATAGCGTAGAGGATGCCGGTAAGGCTGCTACACCGCAGACAACAGATCGCACCTTTCTCCGCTATGCGTTCCGTTCGGGAATGCGATTGATTGGCTGTGCTTTATTTAGTTATTACAGGAAATTTATGCACCCTAGGAAAAAATAGTACCGGACTTTTCAACTCTTTTTTTCAAGAAGGCTAGCGCTGTGTAAACCTTGACTACGAGTTCTGTTATACCCTGTATAATGTGAAATCAATGTATCGGAGTCTATTATATAACAAGGAGTGTGTTTATTTTAAACGTATAACCATTCTGATTTCGTTGCACAGCTACTAGGTAGCACCGGTTTTTGATGCTCGTAAAAGTTGAGCTATGGTCAATATCTGCAACTTCCGTGTATTATATTGTCTAATGTATGACGAGTTTTTAGTGTCAATTATTTTGTTAGTTGCGTAAATCCCGTAAATTTACTTTTGATGTTGCCTTAAATACTTGAAACAATTAAGAAGTAAATAATTAAAACCTTGTATGTAAATACCAGTTCTATACTCTGTCTTCAGCACATCACAACGAAATGAATACCATTAAATGTTCGTAGGAATTGTTACGGTGAGAAATTGATATGTATTAATAATGAAGCTTTCAATCTTAATTAAATATGCCAAACTTAATATTTGTTGAAAATAGCGATTTTCCATTTTTTGTTGAAAGATAACGAGTTGTCAGCCATATAATTAATCTTCGGACTACGATGGAACATAAATTTATTGAAGAAACTTAATCTATTGATTGATTCGAGTGAGAAGAAACATTTTTTAATTGATACGATAATACCTTGATACCAAATATTCCATTAAGGCGAGACCACAATTTGAAGCACCGACTATGACAATTCGTGTGTTAACCGTTAACGTCCGTATTGATGCTAATTGTGCTGTAAGCATAAAAAGTGAGAATTTTTCGGGACATTTTAGATCCGAAGATTCTGGATGGCTGATAGGATTTTGTTCAAAATTGAATCTTATCGGATTTCTTGGCATCACAGGAACCATTACATTTAAACAACATACAAGCGGATGTCTTCTCGTCTAAAACAAATATATACAAATCACTTTAGTTTATATTTATAACTAACATAACATACGCCATTTAATGTACCAGTTATCTTATCATTCTTACAGAACGAGAATTATTATGCAATATAAATTCATTTTTTAACTAACAAATGAAGTTCTCTAACTCAAAAGTTTAGAAGATCGTGAAATTGAAGGGTATCTGGTGCGTGCTTAAGGTAATATGAAAGTGTGATATATACTGCGATGTAAATTCCTACCCCTGATTGTCAAACCGTCATACACCCGGTAGTAATTAGGAAAAAGTGTGTCAAGTCCGATCATTGGCTCTTCCGGGAGCCCGATTTTTCTAGGACGTTAGGTGCACGCGCGCACCTTGGAATCCCGGTAGCCGATAGCACAAACAAGCCGACTCGGTCCGGTCGACGAGACCTATCCGGGCGTATCCAGCCAGCCACTCAGCTCCGCGAAGATCTTACGCCCTTCACGGCACGATAGAGTCGGAGGCTTCGTTATGAACTTAGAATGAGCGAGGAGTCGGCCGCGGAATTCGGGAACAAATTGGGTTGTTAAATAATCACAAAATGTTATGCGATAAAATCCCTCGACAGGATCTTTATTTGGGGCCCTATTTCGACCTCAACGTACGGGCGCGTCTGCGGAACTCTATTTACGGAACTGGAGGCGCCTGTCGAACGGGACAGGCGGGGAAAAGGAAAAATACAAAATTATAAAGGTTGCGCCGGTATTGGTAACCCCTCGGCAAGGGCCTAAAAGGGGCACAACGCCCGGTTGGAAGGACTTAAGTCGGGGGTCGTCCCCCTCCAATGGTATGTGGAGAAAGACTTGCCCGACGCGAGTAGTGGTAAGGTCACTCACACTCGTTTGTCGTAAAACCAGAAATATTACGTTTTGAGACGTATCAAATCGCATACAAAATTCAGTCAGTCGACAGGCTCCCGGTTTCGCGAGACAGCGTGTTAGAATTCACGTGAAGACCGATAACGGTTTAAACGTTTCCTCAAAAATGCTCCGCGACTCACCGACCCTCTAAATCCCAAAATTGAGATCGCGTTGCCTCCTTTAGGCACCAGGTTCAGGTCCCGTCTCTTTGTCATGGTCACGTGTAATGGTATGCAGTTTTGTCGGTGCCTATGCACCTAGAAACTGCATCCGTCGAGGGTTCGAGCCTCACGACTCCTGAAACCGAAATTAATTAAATTTTAAAGTTAAGAAAAGAAAGAGACTGGCGAGAGAGCGAGGAGAGCGTTTGCGAACGATCAGCTGAGCGCGTCAATATTGTGGATTTCGG